CAAGCACCTGCCTGGCAAGGTTCTGAGTTCAATCCTTTTTACCTCAAAAAAAAAAAAAAAAAAAATTTAAGACTGTGACCTCCGGGATACAGTCAAAGTTACCCAAGGCTATCCAGGTCAGCATTCCCTAGGCTAATCTATGTTCCTGTCCTTCTAGACCCATGACAACTGAAATTCCTTAAGGATACTTGAAGTCTGAAAATTGGTTTCACTGATATAGGAGCAAAATCCTGACCTTTTTTTTTTTTTTAAATGTATTTGTTTGGTACAGGTTCTCACTACGCAGTTCAGACTCATAGTAATCCTCCTGTCTCAGCCTCCCCAGTGCTGGGATTACCAGCGTGCTCCACCAAGCCTGGTTTGGGGGCCATCACGGCATGCCCAGGGTTTCAGATTGGCATGGCATTCGGTACCTGGGGATCAAACTTAGGTCCCTGAGCTTGTCAGGCAGGTGCTTAGACCACTAAGCTATCTCCCCAACCCCAAAATCCTGATCTTAAAGGAACAGGTAGAATTCAAAAAATGGCTAAATTATCCAGGTTAAAACAAAAGCACAATAGATTCATACCTTTCATATCCTGTAAAATGGGCTATTATCCTTCCTGTAGGTGGGCTACCTTTTCCGTAAGTTTTCATATCCTCAGGAGACTGCCTAACATAAATGCTCCCAGCTTCAGTAGATAACGTGCCTCTCTCAAAGGCTCCCACCCGCTCTATTTCTTTTTGTTTGTTACTATTGTTGTTTTGTTTTGTTTTTTATTTTTGGCGGAACCAGGGATTGAACACAGGCCCTTGCGCTTGCCAGGCAAGTGCTTCTACTAAATCATTTCCCAGGCCCATGAGTGTGTATTTTTAAAATACTGTGTACTCCCTTTATGCCTTTTACTGACACATCATAAAATTCTTTTTCTGCAATGGAAGTTAGCAAATCTGCCACCTATCTGGTAGGTTGTGTGAGGCTGGGTCCTCATCTCTGCCGTGGGGCCCTCCTTGGACCCTGTCTGGGGATTCACCTATAACCAATGTTGAAGATAATAAAAATTTAAAAATGAAGATCAAGCTCTGTTCTACTTCCAGTTACCAGTGGGCATCTGTAGGCGCAACCAAATTGTTAGGGTTTCTTTTGGTTTTCAGCAAAAGCCACTCTAAAGACCCGGCCAAAAAAACCAAAACCAAAACCAAAAAAAACACCTGAACTATTCCAGATCACAAAGCATTAATTGAATTAATAAAAGGTTAAGGCCCCAGGAATTTGTTATTCAGCTTCTAGGCTTCTCACTTCTCTCTCTCTGACTTTTTTTACTTTCTTTTTTTTAACGTATTTAGAACAGGGTCTAGAGGGTCTCACTACGGAGATTGGACTCTTAGTGACTCTCCTGTTTTCAGCCTCCCAAGTGCTGGGATTACAGGTGCGCACCACCATGCCGTTTCAATCCCTGTCTCAATTGTGGTCTCAGTGCGCCTGGGGGCGAGGCTGGCACAGCACGCTAGGGATTGAACCCTAGCCAAGGTGCTCTACCTTAAGCAGGTGCTTTAGTCTGCTGAGCTAAACTCAGCTTGTCTTTTTCTAAGTGTTGGTTTCTGACAGTGTCATCAGCTCCACCTCAGGGTGCCTGCTGAGATCAGGGTCAACAGAAGCCCATCCTTGGAAGTGCTATCTGGCCTCTGACAAGTCATGCCAGAATTTAAAACAAACAAAAATGATACTATGAATTAAACTCAGGGACTTCATACTACCTTCCCAGCCGTTTTTTGTTTTGTTTTGTTTTTATTTTTATTTTTTTAATTTGAGACAGGCTCTCTTCAAGTTGCTAAGTTGTCCAAGCTGGGCTTGAATTTACGATCTTCTGGCTCAGCCTCCCAGAACACTGGGATTACAGGTGTGCACCACCACACTGGGTTTGCCAACCTTTTTCCCTGGGCCTCAAGCATCAGGAAACCTAATGCAGAGGCTACCAGATTTGGGTTCGTACCTCAGGAGCTGGAAGCCTTACCAGGCAGGGTGAGGGGCAGGGACCTTGTACCTGGAGAAGCACCCTTTGGGCTGGGCACACAGCTGGCAGCAGGAGGGGCAGGGGCTGGGCAGGAGATGCCCCTCTGTGAAGCCCGCAGGCACAAATTCCCAAGGGTGAGAGTAGCTGGGAGGCAGTCAGGGCCTGGGTCCTGAGAGGCCAATGACCTCATCTGGATGCACAAATGGGAATGGCAGGCACTGGGTAGATCTGTCTTCAGGGATAGAGGCCTTGTCCTGAGGTACATGTGCACTGAGACTGCAAAGTCCTAGCTGCTGCCTGTGACCAGGCGGGGGCAAGGCCTGGTCCAGGAGGGCACAGTGCAAGTGCTACCCCTTTTCCCCACTTTCCGCTCCTCCACTCCCCTTCAGTGGGCAAAAAGAAACTCAGCCTTAGGTACCTGCCACCCCTCCTCTTTCCCAGTATTCCCTGTTCTCTTCTTACAGTTTCAGGCTCAGGAAATTGTTACCCAGCTTCTAGACTTCTCACTTCTCTCACTCTCCCTCCCTTTATCCCCCACCCCTCCCTCCTCCAGAAGCAAGAAATGGAAACTGCACTGGGGCTCCTCCCACCTTTGCCCCTGTTTCTGTGTACAGCTCACTTCCCTCCTCCCAGCTCAGGAAATGGAAACTCAGCCTGCAGGCTCCACCTGCCCCCACAAGAGGCCAGGATCCAGGATCCCCTTGCCAGGCCCTCCAGGCCTTCTTACTCTTGTGAGGGGCAGCAGGAAGCAGACAGGAGCTTGGCCACTGCGGAGGTCCAGGATGCTTGGACTTTTGCCCTAAGAGGATGCTGCCCTTCAAATTAGAGCAGAGGGGAGGCTGGGCCCCAAGTCCCAGGCCCCAGGCCGAGGGAGGCAAGTAGCTTCAACCCCTTGAGACTCAGCCAGCTCCCTTCTCTGAGTGATGAGAAGCGTCACCAAATTAATATCACTGGGAACCCGCAGGTGCCGATGTGCCGGAGAGACCATCAGTGTCCCTGCTACTCCCTTCTGCTCCATCACTCCATGTCCCTGGAGTGCAGTCCTAGCTCCTGACCCTGAGGGAGCCCTGCACCGTGAGCTCAGGGGCCAGAAGAGCCCTGTCCACCTCCACCTCAGGGGCATGACCAGAGTGCCGCAGAGGGCTGCTCCCACCCTCGTTCCCCTTGCTTGCTAGCACTCCAGGAAGGGCTGTGTTTTCAGGCTTTAATTTTTTTATTTTTGGCAGAACTGGGGATTGAACTCAGGCCCTTGTGCTTGCCAGGGAAGTGCTTATTCCACTGAGCCATCTCCCTGGCCCAAGTGCTGTTTTCAGCCACGATTCCCAGCCTTCCTCAGGACTTGCTGAGATGGAGTCAGGCACCCACCTCAGAGCTGCCCTGGGCAGACTCCTCTGTGAAGCTGGTCCCTTCACGATGCTTTTAAGGATCAGTCCCAGGCTTGTCTCCCTCTGTGGCAATGACAAGGACACTGAGCTCACAGTTCAGATGTTCTCCTTGAGCTTCCATGAAGACCACAATCCCCCTACAAGTGGGGTTCCTAAGAACCAGACTCAATCTGCCACCTGGATAAGCAGTGACTCACACTCAGATACACCCTGAGGCAAATCACCAAGGGAGTGTGTGACAGCGGCAGCAGGGGTGGAAGCAAGGATGAAACGCCCACTCTGGGGTGATGGAGCAGGTGGCCAGAGCTGCCCAGAGGTTCAGTCACCTGCTTGTTATGTTCATTTCAGGCTCTCAATAAAGTCATGGTGTTGTTCCCGGACCCACAGGGAGAGGCTTCCTGGGCTGTAGGCTCAGGGGCTGTTTTGTGTCTGTAGTGAGGCCTTTGATGACTTTTTGTCACCTCTTTGTCCCATGTCCACTGTCCACACAGTGTTTATTGCTTTGGCCATGTGGCACAGCTTTAGATGACGGCTGGTGACAGGGAAGGGGAGCATGGCCACAGGCAGGTCGGACCTACCTGCTGGGCCCTTCTGACCCTGGGGAACAGCCAGAACAGAGGTCTGGAGCAGACCCTGCCCCAGCTCTGCCTTCCCCACCTGACACCCAGGGAGCGTCTTCAAAACACTAGCCTGCACAGGGCGTCCAGATCCGGGGAGAGCAGCTTCCTGCACGCTCCCGCCCGTTCCTTACCAGCCCACTGCCAAGAGCTCCATGGCTGGGCACCACCATGGGCCGGGGCCATGACAGCTCAGGCCACATTGCATTGGCAAAGGACAGTGGGCACAAGCAAGCCACTTCAGTCCCCAGGTGGCTGGATAGCCAGCGATCTGGGGAGAGGTTCTGTGTCCAGCCTGGCCTGGTCTTCCCACAGCCTGTGACAGCTGTGCCAGGACAGTGCCCTCCTCAAGCCAGGCTAGCTGGAGCACCACGGGTCTCCACATCGCCATACAGCAGAACATGACCTTCCTTCTTGACCTTGTGTAAGTCTCCAGGTCGGGTTTCACTTTTAGACTTCATTTGTAGCTGGTTGTAGACTTACAGGGCCCTTAGCCTTCCCGGCCACCCCAGGGCGAATCAGTTTGGGGCTAGAACAGGAAAGATACCAAGGCCTTTCTGCATCTGAAGATCTCTGCTTCTCCCTCCCCCATAGGGGACCTGCTGGGAGGGGAACAAACACAGCCAGGCAGAGCAGAAAGAGGTGGGAACATCATTTATTTGAGGCACTAAAGCAGCAGCAGAGCACCCGCCCCTGCGAGGGCTGCGGGTCAGACAGGGGCTCAGCTGAATCTGGGGTGGGGGCCTGGAGCTGGAGCCATGAATAAAACCCTGAAGTTAGTGCATTGTGTGTGCAGAAATGCCAGGGTGAGGGGCTTTCTCGGGTGTCCCCAGAGTGCCTGATCTTGTCCTGCCCTCCCATCATGTTCCCCCGCAACAGCCTGCCCAAAGGACCTGGGGTTTAGGTGTTCCGCCTGGATCTACAGGGCTGAGCTCCATCCTTACAGCCCTAAGACTTCCGGGGACACAGCTGACCCCAGAAATGAGGTGGCTGGAATTGGGGTTGGGTGGACTAGGCTCTGAGGCCAAGGAGGTGGAACAGGCAGGAGGAGTGGGATGCTTCAATAGCCTCCTGGTGTCTGGAGGGGGCTAGGATTTTTTTTTTTCCTCATCTGGGTGAGCACGGGGCACCAAGTAAAGGAGGTCAGGGAGCCAGCCACAGCATGGCTGACAGCAGGCTGAGCAGGAGCCCGAGGCTCAGCAGTGGGGCGCTGGCCTGAGGCCCTCCTCCAGCAGCGCTGATGTTACATAGGGAGCTCGAGCAGCATTTGGAGCCCACTTTTAAAACTCCTATGTTAACACTTGGGCCAAGGCAGGTAGGGGAGCAGCCCTTGTTCAGGCTGTAGCCAAAGTCCACGACTTTCCCTGCATGGAAAAAGAGGCTGTGAGGGGACAGACACACCACAGGTGACAGGAACAGCCCCTGGAGAACCCTGGCCTCAGGCTGGGGGAATGGCCACATGGGGACAGTAAGACTGAGGGCAGGCCACTCCTCACCAGCACTTACCGATGCCACCGGAGGTAGAATAAGTCACACAGTATTTGTCAGAGTCCGAGCAGACAGTGGGCCACAAGCAGTAGAAATTGCTCTTCTGATTGGTGCAGGAGAAGCACATGAGGGAGTGGACTGCAGAAGGAGGGACACGCTGCAGGCTGTGCCTGTCTCTCAGGCAGGCCTTCCAATGTGCTCCCAAGTCCTGGCCCTCAGCACCCAACTGCTTGTGGAATTTTACTGGTAACAACAGAACCTCGCCCTCCCAAACTCAAGGAGACAGCAGTAGGGCTATCCCAGGACCAAGATCTCCAGAGGCCCCTGGAAAACACAGAAGGTCCATGGGAGCTGGCCTGGAAGGACTCCTGGCCTCTGTTCAGGGCAGATGAGACAGAGAGAGGGGATTCAGGAGGACTTGGCCTGTGAGGAGGTCCAGGGTCCCAGGCACCGCACCTTGCTCCACACCCAGGAGGGCAGCCAGCAGTACTGGCAGGATGACCTTCATACTTGAGGGGTAGACGTCCGTGGAGAGCTTACAAAGCCAAAGGAGCCAGTTCTGCTGTGCCTGCGAGAGATGTAGCTCTTAGAGGGCCAACCTGCCCACCCACAGCCAGGGTCTCAGCCCACACGGTGCCAGGTGACCAGGCACAACACAACTCTTTTCAGCAATCTGCCTACAACCAGCTGCTTACAAACCCTTATCCCTAGAGGGGAACAGCAAGGCCAGGGTGGGGGCACTGTTGATACTTTCAGAATCTGACAGAAATAGCAGCCCTGGAGTAGCCGCTGTTGGTGGCCCTGATGTAGAGGAACAGTGATCAGAAGTGCTACTGGCTAGCTGGGTGCCTACAGCCCAGACCACTCCTGAGGCGGAGGCCTAGGGGTTACACTGGGGGCTGAGGCCCTGGGCTGTTCCCGCTGGAGGAGGCTGGAAGAGGCCTGATTGCCTTCTTCTTGTGGCTCCACGAGGGCCTCCAGTGAGGCTGAAGGCAGCTGGGAAGCAGCTTAGGCAGGACATGGCGTGAAGGGCGCAGGCGAATCCTGGTGGGGACACCTGACTGCTGTGGGCTCTGCACCAGGATTCCTCAGAGGGCTGGGGTCTGTGGCACCGGGTGAACAAGCTGGAGGCAGGATTTGGCTCCTGTCAGCCTTGGGCAGGGGAAGAACAGGAATCCTGGGGGAGTACAAGGCTGGCCAGGGCTGCAAGCGGTGGCCCCTGAGAATGGGTCCCAGGGCTCTCCTTTCTAGGCCTGGACTTCAGCCTGTTTTTGAATGGTTAAGATGGGTCTTTAAACATTAGGATTTAGAAAGATGAGCTGCTTCTCCAGCTTCCTCCAGCAGAGACAGATGCCCTCAGCCCAGCCCCTGGGCAAGGAGAACTCCACGTACCAGTCTGGGCCCTGCACGTTGGAGTGGCTTCTGTGAGCTCCAGGAGGGTGGCCCAGCTGTCCTCCCACTTTGGCCAAATTATGAACAAGCTCGTTTTTCCATTTTAAAAATAGGCTTTTCTCTTTCTTTAAGACAAGTGGGCGAACAATCCAGGGCCCAGACTCAGGCGTTCGACCAAGCCCCTCACCTTACCCGCCTGGCAACACACTGACATCTGGGAGCTGGAAAAGAGCTCCAGATGGGCAAAGTTAGGGCCAGCACTAGTGCCAACCCTCTTCCTGCCTCAGACAGTGCAGGGCGGACAGTCTTCAATTCCTCCTCCAGAAAGCGAGGTTTTAGCCTGGAATAACCCTGAGCTGTCTGCGGGGATGCTTCAGCCTGCATTGCCATGAACAGGTTGGGTGGTATGGGTCCCTGCCCATTGTGACCACCCCGCCACCCCCAGCACAGCAAGGTTGAGCTAAAGCACCGGCAGGATAGGGCCGGTCTGTCAGATGCTCCCTATGGCAGCGGGATCCAGTAGGCCCTGGGCAGGGCTCCCCGGGACCTTGGGACTCAGAGCTGACTCGAGTGGCCAACAAGAGAAGCAGGAGCCTGCCGGTCTGAAGGAGCTACAAGGGTCCAGGGGCGGCAGCGCACTTCATCCGCATGCACACTCCGGCCCCAAACCCAGAGGTTTGTTCCTCTTTCCTGGGGCAGGACTCCGTCCCAAGGTAATCAATCATTAGGCCAGTAATCCTCCCCTTCCGGTTAAGGACTTCCCTAGGATCCTGCTCCTCTCCACCTGCCAGTCCATCCCACACTGGAGAGCTGACTGTTGATTCCCCGATCCGGTCCTGGACCGCAGGAAATACTCGGGGAGAGGTGGGGGAGGGGAGGGGAGGCTCAGCTAGGGGTCCATCCTTCTCGCTGGCCGGATCTCAACCCCCATCCGCGCCTCCCCGAGCTCACTCCCACCGTTTCCCTTTCCCAGCCGCTGGCAGGCGCGGGCGACTCACAGAGGAAGGAAGCTGCGTCGCGGCCTCGCTGAGCTCCGGAGCACCACGCTAATGCTGGAGAGCAGGAGAAACGCGAGGACAGAGGCGGGGGCGAAGCGGGGCGGGGCGGGGCGGGGCGGGGAAAGGCGGGGCCGGCGGGAGGACCACCTCCTCCCGGTTTCCAAGGGTCCCGGAAGTGTGTGCCTAGCAATCCCTAAACCTGTAAGGTCTATCCTGATCTTTGCTCCTGAGCGCTTCTTGAGGGCCTTCAGCCTCCACGTGACACTCCCAGAGGGACTGTGACCCCCTCCTCCAAGACCCCCAGTGCGGTGGCGCCTGAGCCCCAGCTCAGCCTGCTTGTCCCTCTTGTTGCCCCACGAGAGAGCCACTGACCCCTGGGCCTGTGGCAGGATCCTAGCTATCCCTCACCTAGGCAGTGGGGACCACATTTCTGTAGCCTGCGGTACGAGGTGGCCAAGCCATTGAATGCAGCTGTGCCCTCTGCTTCGGAGGTCTCATGTGTGCTCCTGCCCAGCTCCCGCTATACGCGGTCTGTGGTTTCGTGGGCTGATCTGGCTTGGACCCTGCCTGCCTCTTGGCAAGCAGTTAAGCCTCCCCCCCACCCCAGCCAGGATGGACTGTAGCCGCCTGTCTCTCCGCCCCCCGACCTGCTGCCCCCCACCCCCAATCACAGGTGCAGAGGCCCAGGCAGAATGAATCCCCACTGCTTCACCTGTGCTCCTTATGTATCCTTCATGTCTTTTTGTCTCTAAATGCCCATCAAGTGCTGTTTTTCCAGTGTGCACACACAGGGCACCTGCTGTGTGGGGCCGCCTTCTGCCTCTTTGGAGGGGCCTGCAGAGAGACATTGCACAGTGGGCAGGAGGCGGCCTGCAGGCCCGGATCCTGGCCGGGCTCCCGTCTGCCCTGCACCTCCACTCCTGCAGTCCCCTGTGCAC